GAGCATGGGTTTCTGAAGATCAATATTCTAACCCGGATCTTCACGGGTTCATATAAAGCTGACTCAATCCATAATTGACGCCTTACAATCTGAATGGCTTCTTTACCTGTAAAGACGGTATCTCATTAACAATAACTTGAAGAAATTGGTTTGTTTCATACATTCTGAATGTTGAAATCATGCTTTTATCCAGTAGTTTATGTACTACTCAATGAGGGTATGTTTTATCTCTCCATGATACACAAAACTGACTCTCATAATATGCTAAGTTTATTTTTGAATAGCATGACAAATATGATTATCCCTGTACAAACATAACTAACACATAGTTCATAGATTTGACAGGATGTTGTTTTACTTCCATGTATCTTTTTTACTTTTCACTGAATTGATTCAATTTTACACTAACCTTGCTGCTTTATTGAGGTTTGTTTAATGTTCTGTTGGTTACATGTTGCCGATGTACCGTTAAACATTCACTCACTAACTCGCCCATTCACTCCCTCCCGAGACCATATAATAGTATTTGGTCTCTGCTCACTCAGGGGCAGCCGGGTAGTCTAGTGGTTAAAGTGTTCGCTCGTCACACCGAAGACCTGGGTTCGATTCCCCACATGGGCACAATATGTGAAGCCCTTTTCTGGTGTCGCCCGCTGTGATATTGCTGGAATATTGCTAAAAGCGGCGTAAAACTATACTCACTCACTCTGCTCACACATAATAGTTACAAGTATCACCCCGGGTGATAGCTACCACTATAATATATTACCGGGCTTACACATGATTGTTGCTAAAAAGGTTGGGCAAGCCTTCAATACTATCAAAATATAAAGCTTTGCAACCCATCGGGCTTACACGAACAACATTGGCTTGCTAGGCGCCTGATCACATATCTAAACCACTCAGTATTTAGAAGGATCCATTATTTCTGATATCCATGTGGCTTTAATAATGCTGACTGTGGCGTAATACAACAAACGTCGCTGTCTTGTTGACAGGGAGACATATCTGGACATGCTACTCGGTCCTGTAGAAAGTAACGTACGAACTTCAGAGTTGTTTTCATGGGAGTCGCACACATTTGAAGATGGAGCTGTGAGCGTTATAACAAAACATTTGGGACATTCTGCAGTAAGGGCATACTTTCAACTTGTAGGCCTACGTGTAGTGTGAAAACTCATTAATCTACAGCAAGCAGTCTAAGTAAACTTAGGCTCAGTATTATTCGTTACACTGCTAGACTCCGTATAGCAGTGTAACGAATAAATTTACTGAGCCTAAGTTTACTTAGACTGCTACAGCAAGGAGATTGTTTGAAACTGTACATCTCAGTGGACACAACACGCACTGATATTCAGCTCGAGGCTGTTTGTTGTGAAAACGTACCGATGAATTTCACTTTAAACAAAAACGTAAATCGAATAAAGTAAAATTAAGATTGCGAATCCTCATAATTTTACCATACCAATTGAACATTTAAATCTTATAATTTTTTTACCAACTTAGGATAAAAGTTGTTTAACAAACGATCATAGTTTCAAATCGCTAGTATTGGTTTATATTACAAGGGGGTATGCACCTTAAATGAAACACCGAGAACAAGCAGGGTTGGTCTAAGTTAACGCTCATCACGTACCGCACGTGCTTTTGTTTCACTGTTCCAACTACTGCGCTTACCCCTTGAAATACAAACCAATAATAACGATTTGAATTTATGATCGTTTGTTAAACAACTTTTATCCTAAGTTGAATAAAATTCTGAGATTTAAATGTTCAGTTGAAAAGGTAAAATCATGAGGATTCGCAATCAAAATTTCACTTTATTCGATTTACATTTTTGTTTAAAGTGAAATTCATATGCCGGGACTCTATTGTAAGAAGTGCTCATAAAATCCCCTCTCATGTCCTGAATGTGAATGTGTTTGTTGTTCACACCCCCCTCAGTATTTCCCATGTCTGGGTCGGGTAGACAGCTCGTTCAGATCCTGAACATTTTACACTAACCTTGCTGTTTTATTGAGGTTTGTTTAATGTTCCATGACACAGAATCAGCCAGGCAACATATTGTCATCCCCTTTCACCGTGACTATCCCGTGATCTTCCCTCAAACACATTCGCGTTACGCCTTATTGAATACTGTTTTCCTCCGCTGTTTCCAATATCCCAGCTGTATCACTGAGTTGTGTATACCACAAATGGTCAGGACAAACCAGTGGCTGCCGGCATGGCCGTTGTTACCCTATAACGCGTTACCTTTGGCTAATCCTGTTTGGGGGGCTGTGACCACAGTTCGTTGGCGGATCCATAGGGGAAAATTAACTAATGACTAAAGACCACATTTTGCGGAGCCAAGGGGGTTCAGGGGGGTTCGATCCCCTCTCCCCACCCCTTTGAAAATTCCTGGATCCTGTGAATCTCTAGAGGGAGACGAATACCACCTATGCACACTCGACTTGCTTGACAATTAGCTCAGTGGTTAATTAAAGCGTTCGCTGGTCACCTTGAATCACGGGTTAAATTCCCGACAAGGATACAATGTTGAAACCCATGTCCAGCCGTTCCTCCCGCCTCAATCTTGTTGGAATAGTGCTAAAACCCAAAGCGAGATTTAGCCAAAATCTCGCGATCTCGCTTTCTCGTTCTTAGCAGCTTTTGTCACAAGCCGACAACGCGAGAATCAGACATGATCAACATGATGTAATATGTCGCAATATCGCAATCGCGACTTGTCGATTTAGACCACAAAAATCAAAACAAAACAAGAAATTGCGAGAACGCAAGAATGTGACATTTCGTTTTCTTGCAATCTCGCATTCTCGCACCTTTGGCCTTTTTAGCTCTTTTTCAAAGGTTGCGATCTCGAGAACGCGAGAGGCGAGAGCGCGAGAATGTCCCTTATAGTATTCCCTACCCAATTCACCAGTCAACAAGCATCGCACTGTTGAAGAAATAATAATAATAACAATCACAGAATGAAGAGAGAATATTTGGTATTTTATTACTTTTGAAACTAATGAATAACACTGTATCTACTTGATGTCTAACCTAATACTATCATACAGTGGAACTCCGTTACCCCGGAAACCGCGATTTCCGGCCGCAATCACGAGAACGTGAATTATATGACTAAGAGTCTACCATGTCCAGTGTATTGCTGGGTACTGTCCGGGCGACGGTGTCTGGCTGAACAAGTGACACCGTTTTCAACAATAATACTGTCAATGAGTAATCATTTTTACAAATATACACACGTCACACAGTTAAAATATAACACCCAACTCTATGACACTACAATATTTGTAATCTACGTTTGTCAGTTTTCGTACACTCATACCTGTAGCACCTGTCTCATATCGTCGTGCAACAACGCCCCTGACACCAAACACTGGCTGTTTAATATATACTCAGTATTTATACAGAATACACCTGGAAACACAGTCTACAAATATAAAGCATACATGTCCTCTACACTACAGGTTGTACTGGCAGCAGAAGTAATACTCAAACGTACTTTCTTCATCCAACGGTAACAGTGTACTAAATTTGTCTATGAGGGAAGCACACAAACAAGGCAACGCAACCATTTCACATGCACCCAGAACGGTATATATTGTCCCCTTTCCCCTTTTTCAGGCAATGCCAACAGTGCTTTAAAATATCGCTGCAGAGATGTTATCACGTTACCTATATGACCTATAAAACATTTCAAAACGTTGTGATTCAAAATATCTCCTTTAAGTACCCTTGTTTAATCTTACATGTACAGGTAACCACTGCATATCCCAGCTAGGCTTCAGTGATTGCGTGTCGTGTACAGAAAGGGAAATCCACTGTGACGTAATTGCGTCACGTTTTACTTCCGATGCTCCAACCGTTAAGTACCTCTCCGTGGCTTCCTTTAGTCGTGAACCCTGGACACAGTCAAGTCGGCCATACCCCTACAGGTTGTGCCTAGAAATCGTTATAAATAATCTGGTTCATATAATACCATGACAAACATGCTGCTTTTGTAGTGTAATGTCAAAATAATAACTTGTTTTCTGAAGAAAACGTGATAACAATCGACAACGTGTCCGTTAAAATTCGGGCAACCTTGACATTCTGAGAATTAATATTAAACTGAATCGTTTGCCAAAGAAATATCGTTAAGATTGTTTGAACAACTATTTTAACTGTTCGTGGTTTTTCAAGGAAGTCACTAAAATTACACTAATTTGCAATGGGCGGCTCGGAACAAACCTCTGTGAACATGTAACGTTCACCTGTTCCACTCTCCCATCAGCTGATATATCCGACTCATCACGCCACTCCCATGTCGATGTCATGTTCTTCTATACAATAACAGGCATATGATACACATTGCACTAATATCACGTGGGACCTTAGTCTCCGAACCAACCCGTCTCTCTCCGGCAAAACTCTCTCACAAGCTATCATCATTACTGAATCATACCTTCATCAATGTAACAATAATAAACCTTTTCATCGAATGCAATCATTAACATCAGCTCTTTTTCCAAACAACTGCAGGAGATCGGATAATGTGTACTTTAGAAATGGGTTGTTGGGTGGAATAGAATAGTGTTATAGTGTTATGGGTTTATATTTATTTATCGGCAGGTTGGGTGGCTTTTTATATACGTGGTTTTGCTAATGTAAACACATAGGTTGGGTGGCTTACAATTACGTTTCCGCCTATTTTGCAAGTACTGTATTGACGTCGTTATCTTGTAGTCATTTATTCTACTTATTGGAATTTCCTTCGTCGGTCATGTAATGAAGCTGGGTATCTGTCGTATCCCTTCGCCGTCAGCCATGTTAGGAGCGGAAGCGGAGGGGGCGCAGTGCCGCAGTGAAGTTGTTTACTGTTGCGTAGCCAATCATAACACTTCGTCGTGACCTTTCGGAGGTTAGCTCACGGGGTATATAAGAGCCTGATGCGACTGATATCGTTGTCTTGCAAAATAGGCGGAAACGTAATTATAAGACACCCAACCTATTTGTTTCACATTAGCAAAACCACGTATATAAAAAGCCACCCAACCTGCCGATAAATAAATATAAACAACCCATAACACTACAACACTATTCTATTCCACCCAACAACCCATTTCTAAAGTATACATTATCCGATCTCCTACACAACCAACCCGACATTATACTAAAATAAATTCCTTTATGCTGTTGGATAACACCACTTAAGTGCACATCCCGCCCCATTGTGTATCTTCACTAAGTACAAACTCGCCATTAACCATCATGTAGAAGCAGCTACGAGTGAGAACTTAGCATCAGCCGGAAGCGCTCGTAAAAAGCACTAGTTAATCCACGTACTCGTCTCAAAAAGTATCAACAAAAATTCATGCTTCAGTTCCCACTGCCTAACCATCATTATAACCATCAGGTAGCATCAGCCCTGTTCTGGTCTAGAACATATTTCGAAACGCTAAAACATCACTTGTAAATGTTTACTTCCTCTCATAATGTCCACACTTCAATCCTCATCAGCTACTATTCCTCTCCCTGTATAATAAAATAACCAAAAACAGCCATTTCCCCCCCCCCCCCTATCACCACCCAAGTTTATACACCCATGTCCACCTCGTTCCTCTTCCAGTGCTTAGATCTCTGTCTCCTTCCTCTCTTCCTCCTGTTTCAGCTTCTCCAATATCTGGAGACGTCGGAGGGCGTCGCTGACGATGCACAGGTCTCCTTTCAACTCGCTCACTACGGTTGCGATGCAGCGAGTGCTGTTGAGGACGTCGACGCTGTGTGTGTATGGGTTGTAACGCACGGCGAAGGGCCTCTTGATGGTGCTAGCGAACTGCCTGTAAACATTGACAATGGTTGAAAATCCCGTCCACTCTCGAGACGTATTCGGGGGCAGGTCCTTTGACGCAATAGGATAACACGGTCTTTTATCTAAACATTTATCTAAATACGGCGCCGGTGTCCTCTCATCGACGGATAAAAGCGGATTTGTTGAGATCGTTTCTAAGTTTGTTAGTTTGTCTAATTAATATCGACTCTTATGTGCAAATTGTATGACTAAATGAATACATAGGCCCTGTTGTGCAATGCGTTTCCATGGCAACTGGACAAACCTCATCCTCTCCTTGGCCTCCTCGAAGCTGTCGGTGAAGAAGTAGACGTCTTGGAAGGTGGTGATGAGACATTCCTGGGTGCTGGTCCGCACAGGCTCGAAGGCGATCTTCTCCGCCTTTTCGGTCAGCGCGTGCTGCAGAAAACAGACGAAGTTCATGCTACGATATTCTACTTGAACAGTGTTGCAGCATTTCCATGCCAGCTGAATCTTGGGAGCAGGCCACACGTGAAGCCAGTCATGTCAGATTTGGGATCATCAGACCAACCCGAGTTCAGCAGACCAAGACAGGGCTAAGGGAGGTAACTCCAACCCGTGTTTAAAAATTCACGAACGTTTAGAGAATATCATTGTCGTAAACTGACGTCCACATTATCTTTCAGCACTGGATTCTGACGCTCAATTTTCTTTAACCACAAATAGATAGGGGAAAAAACACACTCTGTCTGGGCCCATCAAGTTTTTATCTTTTTAGGTTGGAACAACATCACACGAAACTCACAGTCAAGGGAATCGTAAAGCGAAATGTCAGGAGCTGATGTGTCACAGTTTGACGCCAACAGTCCTACAATGCCAAAGAAAGCTTACCCTCAGTTCGCCTATAGATGACAATAGTCCAGCCCCGTATGCCCTCAGCTCGCCGTCCTGTTTGCATAGACCGAACTCGATAGTGAAGAAGTAGCACTGTCAACAACAGAGGCAAATTGTGGGTTTCCTTGCATAGAGGTTTTCCTGTTTTGTTTGACCTCTGAATTCACTGGTTGATCTGACATCTTAAAATAATTCTGATCTAACTCGTCACAACTCTCGCCTTCCCGTACCTTGCAGACACATTCGCCACAACTCTAGTCTTTCTGTAACTTACAGACACATTCGCCACAACTCTAGTCTTTCTGTAACTTACAGACACATTCGCCACAACTCTAGTCTTTCTGTAACTTAAAGACACATTCGCCACAACTCTAGTCTTTCTGTAACTTACAGACACATTCGCCACAACTCTCGCCTTTCCGTAACTTACAGACACATTCGCCACAACTCTCGCCTTTCCGTAACTTAAAGACACATTCGCCACAACTCTCGCCTTTCCGTAACTTAAAGACACATTCGCCACAACTCTCGCCTTTCCGTAACTTACAGACACATTCGCCACAACTCTAGTCTTTCCGTAACTTACAGACACATTCGCCACAACTCTCGCCTTCCCGTACCTTGCAGACACATTCGCCACAACTCTAGTCTTTCTGTAACTTACAGACACATTCGCCACAACTCTAGTCTTTCTGTAACTTACAGACACATTCGCCACAACTCTAGTCTTTCTGTAACTTACAACTCTAGTCTTTCTGTAACTTACACATTCGCCACAACTCTAGTCTTTCTGTAACTTAACAGACACATTCGCCACAACTCTCGCCTTTCCGTAACTTACAGACACATTCGCCACAACTCTCGCCTTTCCGTAACTTAAAGACACATTCGCCACAACTCTCGCCTTTCCGTAACTTAAAGACACATTCGCCACAACTCTCGCCTTTCCGTAACTTACAGACACATTCGCCACAACTCTAGTCTTTCCGTAACTTACAGACACATTCGCCACAACTCTAGTCTTTCTGTAACTTACAGACACATTCGCCACAACTTGAGCCTTTCCGTAACTTAAAGACACATTCGCCACAACTCTCGCCTTTCCGTAACTTACAGACACATTCGCCACAACTCTAGTCTTTCTGTAACTTACAGACACATTCGCCACAACTCTCGCCTTTCCGTAACTTACAGACACATTCGCGACAACTCTCGCCTTTCCGTAACTTAAAGACACTTACGCCACAACTCTCGCCTTTCCGTAACTTAAAGACACATTCGCCACAACTCTCGCCTTTCCGTAACTTAAAGACACATTCGCCACAACTCTCGTCTTTCTGTAACTTACAGACACATTCGCCACAACTCTAGTCTTTCTGTAACTTAAAGACACATTCGCCACAACTTGAGCCTTTCCGTAACTTAAAGACACATTCGCCACAACTTGAGCCTTTCCGTAACTTAAAGACACATTCGCCACAACTTGAGTAACTTAAAAGACACATTCCGTAACTTTACAGACACATTCGCCACAACTCTAGTCTTTCTGTAACTTACAGACACATTCGCCACAACTCTCGCCTTTCCGTAACTTACAGACACATTCGCCACAACTCTCGCCTTTCCGTAACTTACAGACACATTCGCCACAACTCTCGCCTTTCCGTAACTTACAGACACATTCGCCACAACTCTAGTCTTCCTGTAACTTACAGACACATTCGCCACAACTTGAGCCTTTCCGTAACTTACAGACACATTCGTCACAACTCTCGCCTTTCTGTAACATACAGACACATCCGTCACAACTCTCGCCTTTCCGTAACTTACAGACACATTCGCCACAACTCTCGCCTTTCCATAACTTACGGAGACATTCGTCACAACTCTCGCCTTTCCGTAACTCTAGGATTTCGCAACAACTCTCGCCTTTCTGTAATTTACAGACACATCCGTCACAACTCTTGCCTTTCCGTAACTTACAGACACATTCGTCACAACCCTCGCCTTTCCGTAACTTACAGAAACACTCGTCACAACTCTGTACTACCGGAACACGATCGGCTATTTACGGTGAAAGCAAGGCACTTTGTGTGTACAGAAATGGACGGAAAGGGGCGGGGTTGTACTCACTGTTGCTAGTTTGGACACCTCTTCATCTGAGGCCCCCAGGGAGGCGAGTCCGATCTCCTGGGAGAACTGGGCGAAGCTGGGGTCAGCTAGCAAGGGCATGTGGCCCATCAGCTCGTGGCAGCAGTCGCTGTGGGGGACAAGGAAACAGGTCTAATGGCGCCAGGTAACAATAACTGTCAAATAGTTCTCATAGACCATAATTTGCAATCTCTTTTACTCTCAACAAAATTGAATTTAGATGAGTAAGACTCTTGCCTTTTCGACGCTTGCAGGGTTTGGAGTATAAGCGTATTTCTGATATATATATTGTATTAGGAAAAACCATTTCAAACAAATTATGAAATGTAACTATGCTCAAGAACATAAACGTCTTGAAAACAACAAACTGGTTTTCATATAAAACATTTTAACTATAACCTATCTGAGCCAGTATGCCAAGCAGTCATACTGACGCTGTCAGTCTACGATCGTCATATCTTATGTAAAATTTAGGAAATGCAGCACCAATTGTAAATATTTGCATGTAATATGTACGTTGTCCTGAGGCCTTATTACTGAAATAAATGATGAACAGTACGCCAAACATGGTTTATGTGAACGTACGGCTCTGGGGTGTAGAAGGGGTCGGAACTATGGCGGATATACTGGGTGCAGTGGAAGACACGGAACGCCAGACCAGCCAGGAAGTCACGTGACGAGAGATATCCAGCCACTGGTCGAAGCTGGAAGCCAGTCCGCGCTGTAACAGTTCACAACATCATCTCATCACTCTGGTTTAGTACAACACATCATTTATATAGGTAACATAAACGGCGACACACTTGTATCTTCCTGAACCTCCAGGCTAGCATTGAGGTAAACCGACAAAAAGAGAGGAATAGATTCGCGAATTACCCGCCCTTGATTGCCATTAACATTGTATCAACCAATCAAACGACGAGATAAGGCGAAAAGGAATGGGAAAGGTAAGTCTTGTCGCCGCCAGCTTAAATAAACATGAAAACATACGTTTCATTTTTAAAAAACGATGTGTAGGGCTGTCTTTCGTGTGCCAGTCAGTTTTTGTATTATTTTTTTCGCAAACTGTATCGTACTCGGTGCTACTGCCATAGAAACGCTGACTGAACAAAAGGTTTACACTAAGTGCTGATTGAAAGCTAATGGTTATATTAAGTGTAGTCAAATTCACTTTGCATGGATACGTTCCTTTGGCGTGCATCTAACATATTTTCTTGGGTTCGAATCCCAGATTGGCGATGATTGTGAGTCCTGGTTTAAGCGTTCATGGGTTAGAACAAACATACAATACCTGCACGGCTTGATCCCAAGTACAGCTGACACACCTTCGTATAAGTAATTTAAAATACTCTCCGATTCGGTGCTTAACCCTACTCGCTTAATCTAAAACTTTTAGCCTTTTAAGGTTTTGGTCTTAAAGTTGCTGCCCAGCCGGGTGACATATAGCCAATGCATGACATTGAGATGAGGAACTGGGTGCAGAATTGACCAAGATACTCCAATGCAGTAATCGTTAAATACAATTCTGTAAAAACATTGTGACCCCTTTTTACAACAGATTTCGTCGCTGGAACCAAAATGATCCATTGATGTTAAACTCCAGAACTAAAAATACATCAGTTCAATAACAGTGAATCCCATTTTCTGAGAAATAATATTTTCCAAATCACAAATGCAATTATTCTGCTGATGTAAGTGTATTTCTTCCCTATGACAGGGAATCCGTTTCTGACACCATCTCTTCAAGATGGAGACAGGAATATTCTGATAGTTAACCATTGTCTGCATGAATTTTCATGAATTGATGAAGTCTCCGATAAGACAGAAATCAATGCCTGTGATCCAAGTGTTCTCGGCGTCCCACGCACGTTAAGGAAACATTGGACTCCCCCTATTTTAACCCCTACCCTCTCCTGTCGGCGCTGGGGTTTCTGGTTATGTATACTGACTGACATCAACGGGATTGGTCATGTACACCATTGTCCAATCTCGAGATGATTGCAAGGACAGAACGAGTAAAATGATAACAGAATTTCACTGGGTAGCGTTGCAGTGGGGGCAGGAGGGTTGATAAAGAGGTCGAGCAATCGTAAAAAGTACGATGTCATTGCCCAGCCATTAATGTGGACGTTTCTGTTAGAACGAAACTAAGCACTGTCATGACTGTGAGTGAATATTATTTTACGTCACAGTCAGTGTTACATTCATCACAAGTGAATATTATTTTACATCACCGTCATTGTCAAATTTATCACGACGGCCCACGAGTAATAGAAACTGGGTCAGATAAGTAGTGATTGACAGCATGAACAACGATCCATGCTGTCGGCGACAAAATCAGCCTACAGGCTCTCGACAAGGATGGTTTCATGCAACCTCATTACGCCCCGAAGTCACAAATGGGTATCACCCTTGGATGACACATTGATGATACCAAGAATATACATGTTCCAGGTTGGCTTGTAACGCGTCATCCAGAACTGTCGCATTTGCCGGTTCCCACAACTATGGATTACGTGTCTACAACGTGTGGTATCTGTTCCGAGTCTCAGTCACTCACTGGCTGCCATGACACAGACTCAGTTTGGTCGTCATGGGCCGAGCAGTTGTAGCTTCAGAGCTGATGTCGACAATGTCGAGGTTAACAACGGACGGAACATATGCCATGACATAACTTTACCTCCACTTTCAGTCTATCAATACATCATGGGACATCAACTTGTCCCGTGACACTTTTTATATTAAAAAGATATATTTTATATAGAAAAAGATAATATAGGATAATATCATGTATTCATATAATTCAAACTTCTAAATGTCTATCAAACACAGTGTTCAGCCTAGTTCATGAAAATTCCAAAAACGTCTCACAACATAACGTTTGGTTAATCTGGTGGCCATTAAGTTAAACATCGTATAGTAGCGATAAATGTGATGACGACTGACCTAACCAGACCCTCATTCCAAAGTCCTGGAATCAGAGGAGGGATATTATCCCTGTGTTGAATTATGATACATTTTGCCAAAGTTAACTAGGATTGATTGTTTATTTAATACCAGTTACGTGTCGTAAATATGTTTACCGTTGTCAGTATATTGCTGTACAGTAAACAATGACTAAAATGTCCAAACTAAGGCAAGCTGTCTCCCCTTACCTTTGAGAAACCTGGACACATCTGCGAGTTGCGGGACGTTGTCCTCCCTGTACCCACAATGCTCCACGAGAAGGGGGATGTTGCTGAGGTACTCCCGGCAGGCGTGGGTTGGGTACAGCTTCATCAGCTCAGAAAACACGGTGCCCCTGGGTGGGAGAGACGGTGGCGTCACTCAGATGTGTCATTCATCAAGGGGTGGGGGTGCAAACATAGTACGTGTCTGTGGGATGTATTTTGGAGTAGGCATTCCTTTCTTTTTCTTTCCTTTTTTCTTGGCGAAGACGGAAGGGGTACATTTTGGCATACATTTGTAAGGCGTTTAATCAAAGACATTGCTGATCAGGCTACCGTAACACAGCCTAACATGGAAATAAACGATAATTTTCCAAATTCCGAAAACCCTCATGGCGAAGTATCTGCCTGTGGTAATGGTGTTATTGATATCCTCTTGTCTGTGGACATTAAACATCTGGTCCGGGTGGTATAAGTAATAAACTTCACAAACTGACCACAAACTCGAAAAAAATTGTTAAAGTTATCATTAAAACATAAAGTGTGTCCCAGCATCTGGAAAGAAGCGACAGCTATTCCCATTCACAAAAAGGAAGTTTGCATGAATGCTCAAACTATAGACCCGTTGCCCTTACTTGTTGTTTAGACAAAATATAGTTTCAAATATGTATTCAACTATTTTAAAGGTAACTTCTTACTTTCAAACTTACAATAGGGATTCCACAGCTAATCAACTTAGGTTCTTGTAGGATTATATCCCCATGCCATGGACCAGGGTAAAGAAATGTAAGCTGTATTTTCTGAATAATGCATTTGGTAAAGTTTAATCCAAGGTATCATTAAATTGGAAAGATTTGTTCCCGCCTGGGTGCTCCAGGGGGCATTCCTGGGTCCCCTGTTGTTTATGATATACATCAATGATAGAAAGGATGGATCAGACAGTAACATTCGCCTGGTTGCCTTTACGCTTAATAGGGACTTATTTCAAATTTCAGTTTGGGCCAAAAGGTATTTTTCAATCTAAATAAGACAGTCAATATGATCAACGCCAAAATATATGTTACTTTGCGTCCGCCTTTGATCAGTGGATGGAACAAGCCATGCGACTCTGCTGTAGTGACAGACATCTGAACGATGTGTCTCTGAACGATGCGTCTCTAGTCATCAATATGAAGATTGCTTTCATGGTTTTCTTTATTTGTCCAAATTTTACAGGAATCCGCAATAACATAATATTCTCTAAAGTTTTACATTAGATACAGTTATTTCTGGCAGCAAATACGTCGCCATTAAAACAAATATAGACATCCTACATTCTTTCCACAGCTTTATCTCATTTACGGTCAAATTCGATATATTTTGATAAGAGAAAACCCCACATTATACGTATTCCCCTTTGTCCTGTGTTGATGTGCAGTTGGAAACTACTATATACACATGTGTTCTGACCTGACGCTCCGTATTTTATGATACGTTGTATGGGGGGAGGTTTTCATGTACGCAGCAACGGCTTGTTCACAATACATATACACTCAATGAATGAAAATAGGCTTAAATCAAATTCCTACAGGGTCCTTGTAGGGCCTATATTATATGACATTCAATTTGGAGGGTCTCTATCATATGTCATATATTTTTGGAAGGTCTCTATAATATGCCATATATTTTTGGAGGGTCTCTATAATATGCCATATATTTTTTAGAGGGTCTCTATAATATGCCATATATTTTTGGAGGGTCTCTATAATATGTCATATATTTTTGGAGGGTCTCTATAATGTGCCATATATTTTTGGAGGGTCTCTATCATATGTCATATATTTTTGGAGGGTCTATATAATATGTCATATATTTTTGGAGGGTCTCTATGATCTATATTTTTGGAGGGTCTATATATATGTCATATATTTTGAAGGGTCTCTATATTTTTGGAGGGTCTATATGTCATATATTTTTGGAGGGTCTCTATAATATGCCATATATTTTTGGAGGGTCTCTATCATATGTCATATATTTTTGGAGGGTCTATATAATATGCCATATATTTTTGGAGGGTCTCTATGATATGCCATATATTTTGGAGGGTCTCTATAATATGCCATATATTTTTGGAGGGTCTCTATAATATGCCATATATTTTTGGAGGGCGTCTATCAAACATAATCCATAATTGATGGATCTCTATAACTTGTCATGCCTTTCTGCACATTGATAGCAAAACTGCCACATATTTATGGAGGCAGGCTATAACGTATCACACATTGGGAGTCTTATGGAAAATTACATACATATATGAATCATATATTTGAGTGAGGTCGCTCAAATGTAGCAATGGATTACGGAAGAGCTGTACGTTTTTGTACATTCATAAAGGATTGCCACGGCCGTGTATCATGTTAAATGAATGCTTTTACATAACATTTTATACTCAGGGTTTTACGGCCGATAGGAGCACAATCAGGGGCGCTGTATAAATGCATCATCATACTCGAGTCACTAAAACAGTGAAATCAAATAGGGTTCATTTAGGACACGGTGCACATTTAATTCATTTTGAGCAATAAAGGCTTTCAGCCCTGCTTGTAATTCATATGCTTCCTTATTCAGTACCGATTAACTATGGGAAGACAAATGTCGCAGGTTTCTAATACGGCAAAACATAACTCTATCATACACTGAACCCTCCCAATAACCTGTATACAGATTATCATCATTGGGACAGTTAGTGTTTCAATGTGTTTGGACTGTAAGTTGGTTGGATGGTTTGTTGTTTTACGCCGCACTCAGCAATATCCCAGCTATATGGCGGCGGTCTGTAAATATTCGAGTCTGGACCAGACAATCCAGGGATCATCAACATGAGCATCGATCTACGCAACTGGGATGCAATGACATGTGTCAACCATGTCAGCAAGCCTGACCACCCGACACCGTTAGTCGCCCTTTCGACAAGCATGGGTTACTGAAGATCAATTCTAACCCGGATCTTCACGGGTTGACTGTAACTCTTTGGAGGGTAAACGGATAAACGAAGTCCGGATTAATGGGGTTAAACAACAGCAGAGACAACTTCAACTGACCATGTCTGGATTTCCTCTTCTGTATAGTCCACTCTTGGAATCGGATTGCCACTGGACAAGAAAACAAAGTTAGGTATCACACGTTTTGTTATCTGATATTTTCTTTAAGATTGAGGTTACCAAGTGCAGTTCTGTTACTCTCAGGGCTATGTTTTATGTATTTTAAAGATTGTAGTTTAATTTCATTGTTTGAATGTATGTGTCCTTGAACACGACGTTCTACATACAACATTAACAATAAAAGATAAAACATTTTAATGAATATTTAAATTAGACGGAGTAACTAATGTGTAATTTACTCAAAGGCAAAAGTAAGTGTGACCAACACATTTGTTTATATAAATGAAAAAAATATTATAACGCATTTTAATATTGTTTATAACACACTTAATCCATAACCCAAACAGGTCCCTGTCGGTAGTTTTTGTTTTGCATGCGCTTTTGTGCTTTTAAGAAGGCATAAAACGTGCTCTTTAAAAAGTGTGGCTCTAAACTTCGAATCATTGCCACCCAAATCATTGATTAGATTTTGGAAGAATCTGCATGCATTTCTGTATTTCATTGGAACGCATGAAACCGGAACACCACAGCGCAACGTTGCACAGCAGCTTAGCATGCACAGGAACACCATATGCCGCTTGTGGAGACGTTATCAACACAACGCCGTCGTTGCAGGCCGTCCCTGAAGTGGCCGTCCACCTGTATCCACGCCACGTAACGATCGTTGGATTCGAACCACCCATCTGCTCCAAAGATTCCAACCAGCCACACTGACAGCCCGAACAGTTCAAGGTGTCAACGGGATATCGCCTAGGACCATTCGCCAGCGTCTGGCTCCACACGGTATACGTGCTAGACGTTCTGTCAGACGACAAATTTTGACATTACGTCACCAACGTCTAGTGGTGCAGACAACATCTGCGGTGGAAAGCACGTGAGTGGAGACATGTTCTCTTCACTGACGAGTCCAGATTCCTCTTGCTGATGGCCGAACCCGAATTTACCGAGCGTTATGTTAGGAACTGTGTCCTTAAGGCCGACCGTATTGGCGGCGGTTGAGTGATTGTTTGGGGTGGGATAACGAGTGCTGGACGTACACCTTTGCTTGTCATCCAAGGACATTTATGGGTCTCAGGGGTACAGAGTCGAAATTGTTAATCCAGTCGTCATACCGTTTCTCCAGCAGAATGGTCCAGGAATGATTTTCAGTACGACAACGCCAAACTTCATGTCGCCAGGGTGGTTCAGCAGTTCTTGGCGCAGCACCATGTTAACTTCCTTCCCTGACCCACTAAATCCCCAGATCTGTCCCCTATCGGACACGTCTGGGACGAAATGGAGAGGAGATTGAGACGTTGGCCAAATCCCCTAGTCACGCTTCTGGAAGCTCGCCAGTGTTCTCCACAGATAAGGAATGCCATTCCACAAGACCTCTTGCGACGTTTGATTGGCTCTATGAGGCGCAGGTGTCAAGCATGCATCAATGGACATAACGTGTATGGTGGCCATACACGTTAAGGACTGTGTGAATTCCATTTGACCATTCTCTCACTTTGACCTCATTAGCATGTGTCCGCCGGAAAAGTTTGAAATGTGCCATTTGCTATCATCTTGTGGAATGATTCTCTTGCAATAGTAAACAGTCTCATCATACAAATAGCAGTTGTTAATTCACATATTTAACTTCAAGTCAATCACTTTTGCATTTGAGTATATTATTTAATGAAACACAGCGCGTTATAAGAGCATTAAAGTCATAATAACATTACGACTTTTAATCCCATAAATCCCATACTTCGTTCGTTAAGTCAGTTTAATTCAATTTTATAATTCCACCAAGCAGTTAAAGATTACCCACACAACACCGAGTCTTTGTTTTGCATATTACAGTTCACGTAATCGTAGCCTGGGCTCACAACCAGACAAAATTAATCTGAAGAAGGCAGCGCGACATGAACACATTGGGATATTGGCGGCCATTGACTGACATGCAGCTGCAAATGGTTGCGGTCTAACACCGACAAAGTTATTAACACTTTGCAGATTCTAATCATCGTCTCGACACTTTCTGCGACCCGGAAACTTTGAATAAACATCTCCAGCTCACGCAGATCAGTGCTTCACAGCGCCCTCTGGTTACGTGTTAAAACACGTGACCTTCTCCCACAATGTCACGTCTGAAGCCGAGCCTAACCAGTGTTAATTACAGATAAACAACGTCGATAAATGTTACATAACACTTTCACCAATTTGGGCAGCATTTCCTGCACAAAAGTCCACCTAATCTCTCCATGATGTCTGTCATACATATTCATTGCTTTTAATGAGTCGTCTGTCCCGCCATTGATTGTGACGACCCATCCCGGCGCCATGTGTGGTGTCAGAGTTTGACCTCATCACAATGGTAACAGATCCATCTTTTCGATCTTCTTTCTTGAACAAGAAGTTTTTGTAGTAGATGACAAGGGGATCAAAAGGACAATTATATTCGAAGTCATGTTAACATTTCCCTACAATCCACAGCGACGTGGTCGTCCACTGGAAGCACCACGCTAAGTGTGACTATACGGTGGTATTCATGGTGTTCCCGTCAAGCATGGCCTTTGAAAAAGGCTCTTGTCACTGCTGTGATGACAAAACGCTGCGCTGACTGACTAGCACGTCATTCAACAGAGAGGACATCAAACCGAGCTACATAAGTGTTCTATAACAATTGTGAGGAGGCATTCGTTTCGGCGTTAGATGGAACTCGCTTGTGACAAAAAGTTTCTTTACATTGTTTTATCTCGTTGAGAGTAATGTGGAGATTTGAGTCTTAGTATTGATTTCTACTTACTGGCTGTATTGCATCGCGAGTTCGGCGAAAAGGATTCTTCTCTTCCGATACACTTCATCTTTGAATCCCTGTGAAATGAGAGCGTGATGTATGACGTCACGTGAAGCTACCATTTCAGATAAGATATGAATGCCTGACGTCTTATCTCGGTAAATATGCATTGAAACAAGACAGTTCCAGAGCTGAAGACAGAGCTGTAGAGATAGATGTCGCTGTTTTGTGGGAACGGGACAGCCAGTACCTCAGAGACCCTCTTGAAATTGGAGTTCTGGAGCCTTACATACACTGGGAGCCTTTCACACAACTGGAGCCCTTAACACATCTGGAGCACCTCATACATCTGGAGCACCTCACACATCTGGAGCACAACACACATCTGGAGCACAACACACATCTGGAGCACCTCATACATCTGGAGCACCTCATATATCTGAAGCACCTCACATATCTAAAGCACCTCACACATCTTGAGCACATCACACATCAGACGCACCACACATATCTAAAGTACCTCACACATCTGAAACATCTCACATATCTGGAGCATCTCACACACCTGGAGCACCTCACACATCTGAAGCATCTCACATATCTGGAGCATCTCACACACCTGGAGCACCTCACACATCTGGAGCACCTCACACATCTGAAGCACCTCACACATTTGGAGCACCTCACACATCTGAAACACATCACACATGAGGAGGTCATCACACTTCTGGAGCAGCTCCGACATCTGAAGCACATCACACAACCGGAGCACATCACACATATGAAGTCAATCACACAACTAGAGCACCTCACACAACTGAACCACTAAACTTTGTTTTTTGTTACTCTTTTAACCATTACATATGAAAGATTTGTGGTTAGTCTTATGCTCCCTTAGAGCACCTGCCATAACAAAATTATTTCGATGCTGAGACCGCCTGTGTTTACTTCATGAGTTCTTGCAACGGAAATGTGCGTTGTGCATGATACGACTGCACACGGACGTTTTGCACATTGCTGTTCAAGTTGAAGTAAGTTATGGCGCGTCAGAAATATACGGTACACCTTTGCATTTTTAAAATGCCTGGGGTACAATGACCTCGTCTTGTCAAGTCAATGACCCATCTATGGCATCAGAAAGTTTGTGCTACAAAACTGTTGTTTCTTTGCCATGGTTGGTCTGACGTGTGGTTGACGAATGTATGGTAGTTAGTGCTTGTCAAATAGTATGTTTCAATGGCAAAGGGACATTAATGTATCGCCCATGTTTGTTTCCGCTTGTATCATTGTGACTCATGACTGTGGTGCCAATATGAGACTGAGAGGGAGGGGCGGGTTATTGAGTGTAGCTGTTTGCTCTTGATGCTGTGAAGAATAATGATCTGTTGGAAAATATGGAATAATGTAAGAATACAGTGTGCTTGAAAACATAATTAAGTTCCCTAGACACAGTGAGGTGCCATTATATATTATGGGTCAGGGTAAAACCTGCAGGCTAATGGAAGCAATTTATAAATATGGCACAACATTGGCGAAAGTGGCCATGGTTGCTTCAGACTAAACTTGTGCCATGTGATATTTAAGATGAATTTACATGAAAATTAAGAAAACGATCATTGTCATTTTCACTGTTTACCATGTTAACATGATTTATAAAACTCATTATAATGTACGTCTATACCAATATTTGTATTAATTTTGATATTTTACATTTCAGAAATTTTGAGTTCTAATGTACAGACATTAAGAGTGTTCACCATGTTCAATACATTATGTTTTGTTTCTTTACATATATCTGGGTGTTCTAGCTAATGAAATTTTATTCTTCCATAATTTGTAAAAAGGTCAACCTGGTTTGTTAAAAATCTTAATCTAATTGTCCAAATCTAATATCCAAACTATTACAATTAGTTTTGCTATCACTCAGCACCAGTATAAATGGCTGTCCAATCAGATGGCAGGACTGGTTAAAGAACCACTAAACTTTGTTTTTTGTTACTCTTTTAACCATTACGTATGAAAGATTTGTGGTTAGTCTTATGCGGAACACCAAATTTATTCTTTAAAAACTTGTGATTAATTAATACCGAGCGATTAAAAGTGGCCAAAAAGTCGCCTGCTTCCCTCTCGCCCGCCAACGAAACCACAGACAGGTTACGTAACTCTGTGGCCAGAGCACTGCAGTGACGTCATATGAGGAACGATTTTCAGTTAGTTGTATAGAAAGTGTGTAGCACGCTCATCATTTTGATGATTTCTCGACATGAACGACGACATGCCGAATCGTTGCTTTGTCGTCAGTTGCTCCTAGGGGTCGGGTGATGGTGTCACCATGCACAGATTTCCACAGGACCCCGCAGTTCGTGCTAAATGGGTTATGTTTGTGAGTGCGAAGCGAGCGTTGTGGAAGCCTGAAACGATATCTTACTTGTGTTCAGATCGCTTCACGGAAGTTAAAGAATCAAAACTACTTACTAGTTATAGTAAAATATGTATACTTATAACATAACGATTTCTTCCACGGAAGCGAGGTGGGGGTCGAAGTCACAATACTGCGCGATAAATTTCTTGCTACATTCACATGGTTAATGTCCACTCACCAGTATGTAGATACTAGTCAATGTGCGTCTTTATATTTGGTCTTATAATCCTAATTAGTTTATTATCATACTTTTATGCATTTTGAAACTAAATAAAAAGCTGACGATCTGCTGATACTTATAGTGAATTTATAACAGAACTGTAATATCTAGACATTTTATAGTTTGCCAATGTAAATCATAATTCGCACACACACTGTAATATCTAGTGTATGTTGTCTGTCTCATTACACTTCACGGCGAAAACAATGATTCTGTTGAATGCTACGACAAATGAATAAAACAAAATGCAAATATTAAAATTAAAACAGATTAAAGTTATAGGAACAATATCAGGCCATTACCTTGTTTGAGGAATGTATCCATCAATATCCACAAAACTGTTCCAAATGATGTGTCTTTTAACAGTTTAATATACGAAAAAGTGATAAATCTTTTCAGGTATTGGTGTATAGTCTCATTGGTCACCCAAGATAGCACACCTGGCAACCAATTGCATAATGTCCGCCTTTCATTAAAAACAGTTATTTAGTTAGCCAATAATGGGCAATCAATCAATGTATTGCCGGTTAATCCTTTGAAAGAAGGACGTTGTTTTTACGCAGACACCGACACGGCAGAGTGTATTCAGTATAGATTAGTAAATCTACATACATAAACACTACCTTTTGACAATTCCGCTGTGTAAGATAAAAGTAATTAATCAATCAGCGTGTTATCGGTTAATCCTTTGATCGATGTTTATAATGTTGAATATTTACTCCAGACACAAGAAATGCCACATGGGAACCTTTGTCGGGTAATCTAAGTGTGTTACCACTAATTATACCTGTTATAAATTCATTAACTGACCATCAAGTGAATGATGACAAATAACATGTGTAGGTTTATACCACCTAACACGGGTTACAACAAGGGAGTATTAATTGCTGTATTGCATGTGAAAACTTATGGGCCGACACTGTTTTGAGAATACAAACAGATTTTTACATGACATGATTAAATATCGAGGTAAAAAAACACAGAAATGGGATCAATTTGGATCAGTCATTATACAGATAGGGCCTAACGACACCAATCAATTGTGACAGAAGCGTCTATGAAAACAAGTTGTAACTCGGAAACTAGGCAAAGCAGGAGACAAAATTAAATGCCAGTAGATTGTGAGAACATATAGCTTTCATTTTCCACAACAATTGTCACGATTTCAGGTTTATACAAGCCTGTAAACAAGATAATTTACCCCCTAAAATGTAGATGAATTCTGCATCGGCCCTCAAAGCTATTCCTCATATGACGTCACAGAGTCGCGCCGCTCTGATTGGTTGAAATTTCGTTCGCGGGTGAGAATTGTGCACTGTTGTCAAAAAGGTCGATTTAAGTCAATTAAAGGTCGAAATGAGTAGTTTTAATGACGGGTTTTCATTTATAACGATGCCAGTTAGTGATTTATGTATTTTTACCCCCTAGGGTTTATGTGACCTTTAACACATCTGGAGCACCTCACACATTTGAAGCACCTCACACATTTGAAGCACACATCTGGAGCACAACACACATCTGGAGCACAACACACATCTGGAGCACAACACACATCTGGAGCACATCACACATCTGGAGCACCTCACACACCTGAAGCACCTCACACATCTGGAGCACAACACACATCTGGAGCACAACACACATCTGGAGCACCTCATACATCTGGAGCACCTCATATATCTGAAGCACCTCACATATCTAAAGCACCTCACACATCTTGAGCACATCACACATCAGAAGCACCACACATATCGAAAGTACCTCACACATCTGAAGCACATCACATATCTGGAGCATCTCACACACCTGGAGCACCTCACACATCTGAAGCATCTCACATATCTGGAGCACCTCACCTATCTGGAGCACCCTCACATCCGAAGCACATCACATATCTGGAGCACCTCGCACATCTGGAACACCTCACACATCTTGAGCTCATAACACATCTGGAGCATCTCACACATCTTGAGCTCATAACACATCTGGAGCATCTCACACATATGCAGCACCTAACACACCTGGAGAACCTCACACATCTGGGCCACATCACACATCTGAAGCACCTAACACATGTGAAGCACCTCACTTAACTGGAGCACCTCACACATCTGGAGCCTTACATAAACTGGAGCCCCTCACACAACTACAAAAAGAGCCCTTCAAACATCTTGAGCACATAACACACCGGGAGCACCTCACACATCAGATTACCCCACACATCGGGAGCCCCTCACACATGTAAAGCACATCACATATCTGCACCCGCTCACACATCTGGAGCACCTCACACATCTGAAGCAACTCACACATCTGGAGCACATCACGTATCTGAAGCACCTAACACATCTGGAGCACCTCACAGAGCTAGAGCACCTCACACACCGTAGGTACCTTACACAACTGGAGCACATCACACAGGTGAAGCACCTTACACAACTGGTGCACCTCACACACCATGAGCACCTCACACACCGGTAGCGCCTCACACAACGGGAGCACCTCACACAACTGGAGACTTTCACACAACTTGAGCCCTAATAAATCTGGCCTCTGGATCTCTATATATTTGTGGAGCTTTCGAGCTCCTCATGAAAGGAGGTCCGCAAACAGTACGCATTGACGTAAAGACGTATATACAGCTTACCGGGTGGTCGGCGTCAAGCTCCAGCCCGTACATCAGCACCCGATGCGCGCACATATCTAGATCTCCGATTGACCGGGGAAACCAGGGCACCTGTTCCATGTCACCTGTAACAGCCAGAACATGCATATTCAATACTTCACACCTTAACGTCACCCCAAGGGATACTTATCGTCATCTATTAAATCGGGTTATTCTAGAAACAAGTACTCAATCTAGAATCTCGTACTCACTTCAAATTGTGTTGGACGATACAGCCAAAATACTGCCCGTGAGACAGGGCATCTCGAACTCGTAGAAACATCAGGTGAGATGAAACCTAACGTTGTTTTCAAGGTTATTGCAATTATATGCGTGCGTGCGTGCGTATGTGTGTAATGCTGCCCAACGGCATTATGTTCGTGTCTCTCAAAAGTTCACTCCTTTCACTTTTCAGGGTAGGGGGGGGGGTGGGGTGGGGGTTTGTTTTAGCCTAGTCACGTCGAAAACCCGGGTTCGATTTCCCACATGGGTACAATGTGTGTACTCCGCTGTGATATTACTGGAATATTCCTAAAAGCGGGGGCGGTGGGGTAGCCTAGTGGTTAAAGCGTTGGCTCGTCACGCCGAAGACCCGGGTTCGAATCCCCACATGGGTACAATGTGTGAAGCCCATTTCTGGTGTCCCCCGCCGTGATGTTGCCGGAATATTGCTAAAAGCGGCGTAAAACCAAACTCAGTCAGTCAGTCCTAAAAGCTATCAACTAAAAAGACTGAAGTCAGTCAACTAAGGCCAAACACCCTCTGTCTATAGATACATGATGTTATGAAGTCATATTCCCTGCAGTTAACCCTAACAGTTGGCTGGAACCTTGGCTCTACTTGAAACAAAGCAGCGGTCATCCAAGACAAAGACTTAATTACCCTGCTACTGATAGTATGAGCTGATGAAAATCTCCGACGAATCCTCCAGAATAATACGACGTTGAGAAGGCGACTAATGTCCGATGCTGTGTTGGCCGATCGATCTGACTGTGTTGAGATACGGGAGACGGGGTGATTCAAGTAAATCTAACTGTTTGTGCATATTCAAGAGAGTTTGTCAAGATCGTCGCGGGCACCATGAAAGAAATGTTACCGTTTCAGGAACATTCCAGACAATTATTCCAATCTTAACCGGTCCGTTTGTAGAAATGTTTGGCAGAAAAACACTACCCTTTCTATTCTATGTAATTACTCTTTTCACTTGTTCAAACACATGCATAGTTTGCAGACTGGTCCCTCTAATGTTCCATTATAAAAACTTGTAAATACAATCAAATCAAATGTTTTAAAACAATATGCTGTTTAATATCAAATCCAAATATAGATTCCCAGATTGTTTTACTATTGATTCAAGTCTTTTAAACTTGAAATATCCTAGGGTGTTTTTTTCGCGAGTATAGGGTTGAATAAATAAGAGTCAGGTATAAAAATTAAACACCAATTCAAATACTGAAAAATAGATAGATGACTTAATTAAATGTCTATATCACTCACATGGTGCAGTTGCATTTGGTGGGGGCGACATGGGGATGTTGAGCTCGTTGAAGGTGATGTTGGCGACCTCCCTCTTGAGGCGGTTGACCAGTTCCTCCAGGCGGATGGTGTCGGTCTCCAGGTCCACGTAGATGTCGTACTCAGCGTCGGCCCGCCGCGACTTCCTCGACTCGATGTGCACCACATTGATATTGTTCTCCTGGCGACAGAAAAGATGAGTGTGTAGACGACGGTAATCTATCATAATGTATATTATTGATGGTGACTTTACAGCTGGGGCAATAGGAAGAGGACTTAGGCTTGGGCCTTTCTGGTCACAAATGGCCAGGGCTTTCAAACATTTGTATGAAAATAATGTTTAAATATGTTTAAAAGGTCCATCACTATCGTTGCTTCCTTTACAATTACAGGATATTGACCACTGACATGATCAAGTACATGCTAATGGTTAAACTAACCGACAGTATGATCATTAATAAACTCGGGACCTGAGGTGACTTTTTACCACACGTCTTTCCAAACAAGGTCTGCAAGGCCTCCGTATTTCAGTTATTACAAATCCGCCTTTTTATCATTCATTTACGGGAATTGTCATTACGATTAGTGATATAAAAATCAAAACAAAAGAACGCTTTTTTTAAAGAATACGTTTAAAGGGTTAAACTACCATAGAAAGAAAGCATACCTGGAATATGCGGAGGGCGCTCGCTAGATGTCCGATCTGGTTGCGCAGAGAAAACACAACGGAAGTTGTGGTGCCGATACCGGAAGGACTACTGATGCCGTCAAGGTTGCGGAGGCTGTCCTGTTGAGAGAAAGAAAATCGTTAATATTTTTTGGGTAGAAAACATACAAAATAATAATAAAAATAGAATGTTAATTGACAAAATGTAAATAAAAATTTTCTTATTCATTTTATTAAGGATATGCTGTGGCATGCACTCGTTAATAGCTAAATAAAATCAAAAGGTGGTAGACAATGGTTTTACACTTCTAAAAATGCCTGTGCTTGTGAGGTAAAGGATTAGAAGAATTATTTATCATCCAAAACTGTGTTCCACAGGAGTTATCGCTTGTGTGAGATCAAATGATATCTCCTAGGAGATATCGTTTTGACAGTAGATTTTGTACAATGCCCTGACAATGCTATGGCGTCATCAACTTGATGATGTCACAATGCTATGACATCGCTGCACTGCAAGTCTAATGGTAGTACAGTGTTGAGAGATGTACATTTGTCATTGAAAACTAATGAAGAATGATTTTGATGATAAATAGAATCTCACCCTCGTGTCTACTGATATCAATTATATCAACACTCGTTGATAAAGGTAAAAATATCCTCGGCAAGCCTCGGATATTTGTAACTTTATCAACTCGTGTTGATATAATTGATATCAGTAGACACTTGGGTGAGATTCTCTATATATTTAGCTAGTAAAAGTTGTTATAAATATCCCGTTGGAACATTTTAAAAATAATATACTTTTTAAAAATCCCACAGAACATGCATAACTGATCCACATAATCTGCAGAGTAACACAAAATATACACCAGATTAGTAGATAATATAGAAAACTACAAACGATATGAAAACGTTACAATACTACAAACGTTAGGTCCAAAACACAACTATGATATCCGTATCAGTTACATCACCATCAAATACATATTTCTTCTCTGCTTCAGTTAAGCAACGGCCGTTTAGGAACGATGAACCACCAATTTCGTGCAAAAAATTTACAATTTGTATGTTTTATGGGAACAGTACTTCCCTTAAGTGCCACAAAGCAACAAGTAGAAACTTCAGCTTACCTCGAGAGCTCTTATCTGGCTGTCGGAAGGAGGGATTATATTTTGACATCGTCTTTTTCGATACAATTCACTTTTGCATATATCCCTTTTCTCTGGCGGAAAGTCCCTTTCCTCGTGGTAGTGAGTGAGGGGAGGTGTTTTGTGTCTGTCCATTGGGCGCGGCCCTAATATAGGGGTCCTTTTCAGAGCCACTTTGCAGATTTCCACACAATTCCCCGTGGTTGCGGTTGAACTGAACGAACACAGGTGAAAATGAGCAGGTAACCGATGCTGGCCACCTGTAGCTTATAAACTCACTGCCGAACCACCGAGAGAGTGCTAATATAATTAGCGACGCGGTTCTATGTATTTATACACCTTTCATGAAATGATAATTTCTGTGAAACAAGGCAGGGGGTGGCGCGTGTGACGTCAATGTTATCCGCTGCTTGTCAGCGTTTTGTTCCCCCACGTTTCAACAAGGGACTGCTACTACAGATTGCCATTCAATAGAATTTCATCAGTTTGCTTAGAATACAAATAACTGTTAAACAGAACACACTATCTCAATGACGCGCCGCGATTTCTCACGCTCCATTGATCACATGGTTGGACCACGTGACATGATATTTGTCCAATGAGATTTGACGTATCCATATTGCCTGATCCCGCCCTATGGGAAGCGTACAGGACAGGCCGCTACTTGTAATGGAGTATCGATGTATGGTAATTAGGGCCATTTCATCTGTCCCCCTGTTTAATCATTATGCTATCGCCACCCACACCAAAGATGCTCTCCGGTGACGATGTTGCACGATATGGTTATTTCATCTTGGTTTAAGCGTCGTAGGTTCCACACGCATACTGCTGATGCGGCCATGTAATCTTAATGATGCCCTAAAAGACGCAGTCACATATCGAATGGGATGGGGAGCTTGAAATAAAAGGGGTGTTTCAGCGGGAAGTCTGGGGTCACGGGGAACTGAAAATATATATGAGACGTGTCAGTTTTCTCTACGTTGAAATTCACTTTTAATAGAAACCATAAAACAGTTTCAATTTCAGAGCAATGAAACATGACATAGGAATTTGTTTAAGGAAAAGTTTAAGAAAATAAACAAATATAACTGGAGCTGTTTTGCATGCAGCATGCAGCAAAGATATTGTCATTGTGTCTGCATCTGCTATGTTCATCATATTGTCCCCTAGTTTTATGCTTAAAATACACTTTCCCAAATACATCTAAATTAGTTTCATATATTTTACCTCAAAACGCGCGTCATCATTGCTGATCTAAATATAAACAAAGAACTTAATTAAGCACCCCATGTATTTTTGTAGTGATAGGTTTTCAACACGTACATAAAATTTCTCGTGATGATCAAGGTGGAAGAACATCAGAGATTTTCTGATCCGTAAGATCTTTTGACTCATAAAACCGACAAAATGATTGGACTCCATGTTGGTTTTATATTGACTATTGTATAAAAACACTGATTTTCATGCAAAACCATGTCTGTATATGTATGGCCATGGAATGTTTTGTGTAGAATTTATTGGTGAATTGTGAACATTCAAAATGTCACACTATTCAAGGTCAATGCCGCGTGTAACCTCCATGTGACTATGTGACAGCCAGCACTCTCCTCCTCATACACCCTGTCAGCCACCTGATCCTCTGAAGGGGCAGTCTACGCCATTCCTTGTCTAAAGCAGCTTCCAAAGCATTGGGCCGGGTTCTGTACAAGAGGATCCCTTTGTTGCACACGACGACCAATCATGTCCCAGATATGCTCCAAAGGGTTAAGATCGGGGCTCATTCAATCGTGAGATATGTCAGGGGGTGCTTAACTAAGTACTTTGTGTACATCTGCATATGAAAATGTCCTTCTTTTTGTCACTTTGTAACTAGTGAACATGGAGTGAGCGAGCGAGTATCTCCAGCTCCGGAAAATAATGTGATTATCCTGTATTTCAAAGGGATTCATGAGGCCTAAAGAGTGAGCTGATGCCACATTTAGTCCAACCATACACAGTGCAGGAGATTTTGAAATTCCATTTGATTATTAGCACCAGATAGACACGATATTTGAACACGGTGAGACAACATATCTCTCAACACAAGCAATATGGCGACCAGGTCACAACAGGTCTCATCCGTGAGCACTCGCTCCTCAACTGACACTTCCCTCCCTGACACCACCAGCTTACAGGATATTAAAGAACTGATATTGGCATCTGAAAGAAACCTTCCCAAAAAGATAGATAAACTAGATGGAAAAATAGACAATGTCGATGCAAACTTGAAAGAGTCTGTAGCAAAGACAGAAGCCGACGTAGCTGCGACCAAATCACGGATTGAGTCACATTCGGAGTGAGTGAGTGAGTTTTCGGTTTACGCCGCTTTTGGCAATATTCTATGTCACGGCGGGGGACACCAGACATGAGCTTCACACATTGTACCCATGTGGGGAATCGAACTCGGGTCTTCGGCGTGACGAGCGACCGCTAGGCTCCCCACCGCCCCTCACACTCGGAAGAAATCGAATCTATAGAAACATCGCTGAACACCTTGCTTGCAGATATGGACTTGAAATGCAAACTCCTCAACAGGAGGCAATTATGAAAGAACTGTATCGATGGCTGACGGTGAGGATGTTTTCGGGGCCAGATCAGCCCTCTATATATGGATCACACATGAACATACAAACAAACCTACCTAACAGCATGAAGAGGATAAGATCCTTTCTCAACAAAACAGCATATGAACTAAGAACACATGACAAAATGTATACACGAATCAGAATTAAAGGAACTGACCTTGTTCTAGAGACAAAACTCCCCAATGAACCCCAAACAGCCCGGAGAAAGCTGCCTGTGGAAATACCCGAGGACCGTATGCAATATTGAGCAGATATGAGTATGTGACTCAAATCAAGTATATCAAAACATAAAGCTATTGTTGCAGCTCCTAGTATGTAGAACAAAATCATAATGAATAATCATCATATTAATGATAAGCATGTACTTGTAGCATTCTGAATAATAGAATATGTCTAGAATGAAAAAAGAATATGTTATGCAATTACATACATCTAGAATTAAGGTATAATTGTTTAAAAGATATGTCATGAATCATCATTATATTTATGATATGCATGAATAAGTAGTATTATGAATAATGCCATATGTCTATATTGAGAAAATAATATAATAGGCAACTATCCCTATCTTGAACAAATGTATGATTTTCTAAGATTTAAAGAAAATAAATATTTCATGAATAATCATCATATTAATGATATACAGGAATTAGCATCATTATGAATAATACCACATGTCTATATTGAAAAAAGGATGTATTATGCAATTACCTATATGTAGTGGAAAGGTATACGAGTTGGTATACAGAGAAACTGCTATCTTATGCAACGGAGTGAAATAACAAGAATAAGCAGAAATTAAAAAGAAATATCATATTGCCCAATTTTACCATTAAACTGTTGGATATTATATTTCTTATCTGCTGTCGTTATTGTTACAATTTTAATTATTCTACCAAAACCAAACTTCTGGCGTAGTGGGTGAATGAAGCAGGGGAGGAACTCCGCAGGTATTCCATATGGCGGACATGTGATTCAACAAGTATATTTAGATTTACCTCCCCTTTTCCTTCACTCCGTTGAACCGGAAGCTGACAGGGGTAATGGAGGCAAAGAACGATGTGATATGGCACGAGTGGCGCCTAAAATGTTGGATTACATATATTTTACGCAAGTAATTATTAAATATGAGGTTGGAAATCTGAGAGCACAACCCTATGAGGGAATGGGTGTCTACCCTTGGTGTTGGCGATATTTTATTTTGACATTAAACGTATTTTTCGAGCCGAAGCACGCTGCCAACCTTTGAAAGATTGGTCATTTTTCTCTCTGTTGCGATGCCCTATTTGCGCTACAGTTTGCCTGTGGTTGGCCACGTGGGCCTAATCCTTTCTCCTATCTTCAGAAGATGTTAACGTGTCCCCCATCCCCAGAACACGTTAACGTGTCTACTATCCCTCCCAGAAGACTTTGACGTGTCCCCATCCCCAGAAGACGTTAACTGGCCCCTATCCCTATCCCCAGAAGACGTTGACGTGTCCCCTATCCCCAGAGGACGTTGACGTGTCCCCAATCTCCAGAAGACGTTAACGTGTCCCCTATCCCCAGAAGACGTTAACGTGTCCCCAATCTCCAGAAGACCTTAACGTGTCCCCTGTCCCCATAAGACTTTAACGTGTCCCCTATCCCTATTCCCAGAAGACGTTAACGTGTCCCCTATCCCCAGGAGACGTTAACGTGTCCCCAATCTTTAGAAGACCTTAACGTGTCGCCTGTCCCCATAAGACTTTAACGTGTCCCCTATCCCTATTCCCAGAAGACGTTAACGTGTCCCCTATCCCTATTCCCAGAAGACGTTAACGTGTCCCCTATCACTATCCCCAGAAGGCGTTTACTTGTCCCCAATCTCCAGAAGACGTTAACGTTTCCCCTATCCCTATTCCCAGAAGACGTTAACATGTCCCCTATCCCTATTCCCAGAAGACGTTAACATGTCCCCTATCCCTATTCCCAGAAGAAGTTAACATGTCCCCTATCACTATCCCCAGAAGACGTTAACGTGTCCCCTATCACTATCCCCAGAAGGCGTTTACTTGTCCCCAATCTCCAGAAGACGTTAACATGTCCCCTATCCCTATCCCCAGAAGACGTTAACGTGTCCCCTATCACTATCCCCAGAAGGCGTTAACGTTTCCCCAATCTCCAGAAGACGTTAACGTGTCCCCTATCCCCAGAAGACGTTAACGTGTCCCCTATCCCCAGAAGACGTTAACGTGTCCCCTATCCCCAGAAGACGTTAACGTGTCCCCTATCCCCAGAAGACGTTAACGTGTCCCCTATCCCCAGAAGACGTTAACGTGTCCCCTATCCCCAGAAGACGTTAACGTGTCCCCTATCCCCAGAAGACGTTAACGTGTCCTCTATTCCCAGAAGACGTTAACGTGTCCCCTATCCCCAGAAGACGTTAACGTGTCCCCTATCCCCAGAAGACGTTAACGTGTCCCCTATCCCCAGAAGACGTTAACGTGTCCCCTATCCCCAGAAGACTTTAACGTGTCCCTATCCCCAGAAGACGTTAACGTGTCCCCTATTCCCAGAAGACGTTAACGTGTCCCTATCCCCAGAAGACGTTAACGTGTCCCTATCCCCAGAAGACGTTAACGTGTCCCC